TATTTGACATGTTAAATAGTCTCAACTAAGCGAAGTTACAGTTCAGATCCAAATTGATTTTGTGGGGTCAATGACTTAGGAAGCCCCGAGAAAATAGTTGTACAAAGACCTGCGACGCAGAATTTTCAAGCACAGCAACGGCTTTTCGGTGCAGTACACAAGAAAACGTACAATGATAGATGCTGACAATTCAACACTGTAAGGATACTCATTAGAAAAAGTACTCAATGATGTAATTCTCAAAAACTGCGTTTAAAAAACAATAAAACAACGCGCGGCGGTCGGCGACGTGCCGCTGTAAATCACCGTACACAACTGCAATCGTTATTCGATACGATTTATCTACTTTATGGTAAAACTTGGTCGCAAAGGCTTAATGCTTATGTAAACTTATCTATAACTTCACAAAATGAGCAAAATTAACAGTTGCAAGCAATAACGACGCTCTAAACTACAAATCCTATCTAAGCAATGTGAGTAAATCCCGCCTGGGCGGCATTGAACGGCAGTGCAATGTTTCTTAGAGGATTTTTTTGCTAGTGACTATAAGAAGTTTACGCCGCAACCAATGTGTAGCCCAGTTGATTGCGCGTCTCCAACGCAATGCTTGATGGGTGCTACATAGTTAACTTCGAGCCGGAAGATGTTGCGGAAGATAAATGCCACCCCTAAAATAAGTAAACAGAACAATTGACATAGCCTTTGAAATCATAACTGAAAGAGAAACAGAACATAATGAAGCATAAGATAATAGAGCAATATATATACAATATTACCTAGTCCAATAGAGACTCTTTGCGAATCTTGCAAATCTCTCACAACATTTCGAGATCGTACAGGTGCAACACTTCCCGTTGACACAAAAGCATGAGCAAAGAGCATCTGAAAGGGAGAAACCAGAGTAATACAATGCACTGCAGTTTATTCGTTTTGAACGGCAAGAAAGGAAAGAAGTAAACCTGTGGTGGGAATAAAGGGCGATATACATGTAACACACCACAAGCAGCTGATCCGCCTCCTAGACACGAGTTTTCAGATCGAACCTTAAGTGAACCAATAAAAGCAAAGGTGAGACGATAAAACCTAGATCTACAAACTTACACCAAGCGTATTCAATCCAAATCCGCGAACATCTTGCTGCCCGCCGAGGTAAATTCTGTCAAGTAAGTGAACTTCTCGATCTCCCAAACCTATCACATATTTTAACTGAGCTGATGCTGACAGTATCAGTCCCAATGGAAGAGGGGCAGCTGCCTAAACTTTGTTATGAATATATAAATAACATAATTTATTAATTTGTGCATGCCACTCTCATAAACTTGACCAAAATTAAATTAGACCTTGCAAGTAAAAATATTTCGTACTCTCATAGCGAGTAATCAATTCATTAGGACACAAAAGTTCAAGCTCAGGAGTGTTTGAAACAATGTCAGAACAATAGCAATGCTTTACCGGGTCGCGACGGAAGCCACAGAGCCATCAACAAACGCCAAAATGGCTCACAAGCCATTGTGAATACTTGCGGAAGTAAGAAATATGGAACTTTATCTTATAAACTAACTTGTAGATCCAACTGATGCCTTATAAACGAAGAATCACCAAATGGCCCAGCATACTCCTGCGTCAACCGCGCTAAAGATGTTATCTTCAGAATAAAAACCTTCATTTAGCAGTTCCACTCTCAATCAATCAAATTTTGAAAACTAGTAGCCATTGCCGAGATGAGCACTAGCAAAAAAATGATATGTTTCGAACACAACAGCAAAACGCCGATATCTAGAAAGAAAACTGACCCAGAATTCCTTTAGAAGCTAGAATTGGCCGGTCTCTGCTGTCAAAAGCTACAGAATTTTCCACAGAAAACTTCATTGTATGACCAGCGTGTTCACGAACAGAAAATGCTGAGTCCTCGCTGGCACGAAGAGTTCGCCACATCTGCAAGAAGCCAAAGTCAGCACAATTATAAGATCTGAGGCAGTATATATATATATATATATATATATATATATATATATA